GGCACTGGTCAGCCTCTGATTGTGGCTCCATTAGAAGACCCTGGGTGTGTGCACATATGAGGACCTTCCTGGAACCCCACAAACCTACGGTCAGATGCCTTAGGGAGGTGGGCAGAGGACACATACACATGCAGAATAGAGCATTGAAGAGTGAGAAGGAAACGTCTTTGAATAAACAGGACTCTCAGCTGATGGCTGTCAATATTAGAGCCCCTGCCTAGAATCCCCCAGTGAGGAGCTGAGGACAGAGCTAAGCATTATCACAATTATATAGCATGTGCAGGGACCTGGTTTTCACCACTAGAACCACACACAACACACAAAAACAAAGTTATAATATTTATCTGGAAATGAAGCAGGAAAGATTGCTTGTGGAATACACCTGTCATAAAAACAATGAGTGCATTCAAAAGACAGCAAATGAAATAGTCTATCTTGTTTTGCCTTGTTACTTGGGGTTTTGTATAGCACAGGCTAGTCTCCAATTGACTACCCTTGACCCTTGCATCCACCTCCTGAGTCCTGAGATGACACACAGGGCGTACCACTGTCACAGCCTCATCTCTGTCGCTGTGACAAAACACCCAGCACAGAAAGGAAAGGCGAGCCCTTGCCACCAGGCAGTGGTGGCACACACCTGTAATCTCAGCACTGTGTGGCTTTGGTGCCTGTCCTGGAACTTGCTCTGTAGACCAGGCTGGTCTCAAATTCACAGAGATCCGCCTGCCTCTGCCTCCCGAGTGCTGGGATAAAAAGAGTGTGCCACCACCGCCTGGCCTTCTTTTATCCTTATAGTTCCAGTTCAGGAGGGTCACTGCCTAGGGAATGACGCTGCCCAGAGTGGGCTGAGTGGATCAACGATGCCCAGCACTAAAGGGAGACCGTTAGAGGTAAAATGAGGGCACACAAATTATTGAAACACAGTTATCCCTGATCTCAGAGATAACTCTGGTTATTCTCGTCCAAAGCTACACACATCAGATGGACACATCCTGTCCTTGGACAGGATGTCTGAGGCTCCTTTATGAAGGCTGTGGTTCTGGCAGAGATTCTGTGGGAGTTCTTGTTATCACAACACACTCAGCTTTCCCCTTCCCCAAGATTTATTATTTTTATAGTTTGTCTTATTTTACGTGTATGAGTGGTTTTTTAATCTATTTATTTATTATGTATACAGTATTCTCGGTATTCTATCTGCATGTATGCCTGCAGGCCAGAAGAGGGCACCAAATCTCATTACAGATGGTTGTGAGCCACCATGTGGTTGCTGGGAACCAAACTCGGAACCTTCGGAAGGGCAGGCAGTGTGCTTAACCACTGAGCCATCTCTCTAGCCCCATGTATGAGTATTTTGCCTGCAGGCATGCCTGTATACCACACGTGTGCTTAGTGCTCAAAGAAGTGAGAAGAGAGCATCAAAGAACCTAGAATTGGACTTACAGATGACGGTGCTGGATGCTGGGAACCAAACCTAGGGCCTCTGCAAGAGCAACAAGGTCATTTAACCACGGGCCCATCTCTCCAGCCCAACCCTTATTTATGTGTTCTGTCTGTGTGATTGTATGTGTATCTGTGCACTACATGTATGCACTGCCTGAGGAGGCCGGAAGAGGGAATTGGATCCCTTGGAACTGAAGTTACAGATGACAGTGAGTCCCCACGTGGGTGCTGGGAATCAAACTCTGGTCCTCTGGAAGAACAGCCAGTGATCTTAAAAACTGGGCCAACTCTCCTGCCTAGACAGGGTTTCTCTGTGTAACAGGAACTCCCTTTGTAGAGCAGGCTGGCCTCCAGCTCTGCCTCCCATGCACTACTGGCTTTTTCTTTCTACAAACAGAAGTCAGGTGGCTTCGCCCTCTAGCCAGCTCTAAGGGTAGCCTACCTAAGGGTACTGCCCCTAAGAGCCCACGGCCCACGGCTGCCAGACAGTGGGCCCCACAGACAGACACTGGCTAAGGGAGGCATGCACTAATGTCAACCCTCTCCAAAATGAGGCAAGGCTCCCCCCGTGTACATCTCTCACAGGCCACAGCCCCTGCCTTGTTGAGCTGAACAGCCCAGGATGGTACTTCCTAAGATGGGCACAGTACTACCCGCCCCCCCCCCCCCCCCGTGTACATCTCTCACAGGCCACAGCCCCTGCCTTGTTGAGCTGAACAGCCCAGGATGGTACTTCCTAAGATGGGCACAGTACTACCTCCTGCCCCGCCAGGTCTTCCGCAAGGAGACCCCCACAGCCCCTGAGTACTGGGGGGGGCGCTTCTGTTGAATGTGGTGGACTCTGGGGACTGCCCGTCGTCAAGGGTGGAGGTGACAGGTACTGAGAGAGCCAAAGCTGAACAGATCTTGCTGTTTTTCTGGAGATACCTGTGCTTCGGTTTGGCAGCCGTGTTATAAAGAAGCCCAACTAGCCCAGAAAAGGTGTTCTAGCCACAGGCTCCACTGAGGTCAAGGTCAACACTAACATCTGCAGGTAGGAATGGTGGGTGAGCACTTATAATTCAGCACCTGGGAGGCAGAAGCAGGATTGGGAGTTCAAGGCCAGCCTTGTCTACGCATAAAATCTGAAGCCAGCTTCAGCCACTTGAGATCCTGTCTCAAAGAAGAATGGAGGGGGACTGGAAAGATGGCTCAGCAGTTAAGAGCGCTGACTGCTCGTGCGTGCAGGGGACCCAGGGTCAATTCCCAGCACCCACATGGTGGCTCACAACTGTCTGTAACTACAGTACCCTTCCACAGGTAAAGCAAACCACCAATGCACATAAAAGTAAATAAATAATAAAAAAAATGAAGGAACCTCCTCCCTCCTTGAGCCTATGAATCAGATCACACATGGATAGTCAAGAGTCCTGGTGGAAGGACCACAGAGCTGCCTGGTTTTCTAAATCAAGTTCATTTTATTTGAGATTTTCCACATGCCACAGGTTTACATAAAAACAGCCATTCAGAATGCAGTTTGTCAGCACCACAGTGACATCTGGGTGTGTCACTACCAGATACCAACCACACAGGCAGTTCTCCCAGCTAGACAGGAGTCTGGGCAGTCAGTCACCAAAAGGGGGGGAATGGTCACTTAGCACCTGATCACAAGGCCCTCCATGCCCCGAAACAATAAATACTCAACTCAGGTGGTGCCAGGTAAAGTCACACACAATGTGTCATGGTCAGAAGTGGCATTACCTAGACGCGTGCTCTTGCATGTGCACACACCAGACACACCTACAGATGCACGCACACTCCTGCTATGGAAACCTTTGTTTGTACACACATTCCTTGCACAGCAACCCGTGAACACCTCGCCAGCACAGAGGTCAGGGCTTTGGCTGGAGCCGAGCCTGCCCCGTCTGCACCCCCAGGTTGAGGCAGATCCCAGGCCAGCATTAGCAGCAGCTCGGGTCTCCCTGACCAGCACTGCTGCTGGCAGCCCCGTGGCAGCCTGCCAGGTCTGGCTAGGGCAGGGCAGGTGCAGCCAAGCAAGCTCCTGGTCTGAGCTTTCAAAGAAAAGCACCCCCCACTGGTGGGCCTCCAGAGATGTACCTGTGACGACTGAGCAGCATAGGACCCATGGCTGGTACAGACTTCACGCAGTAGTAACACAGAGCCTAGCAACTTCTACTGTGCCCTGCAGGCCCAAATGCAGATGAGACCAGTCACAAAGCTCCTACCGCAGTGCAGTGGGTGCTGCTAATAACTGTGAGTACCAGGCCTGGTGATGGTGATGCACGCCTTTAATCCCAGCACTCGGGAGGCAGACAGGCGGATCTCCCTGAGTTCAGGGCCAACCTGGTCTACAAGAGCTAGTTCCAGGACAGGCACCAAAAACTACAGAGAAACTGTCTCAAACCAAAATAATAATAATACAATAATAATAATAATTACCAATGAACTGGTCACATCCACAGGAAGAGGTCAGCGTATCAGNTCTCTCTCTCTCTCTCTCTCTCTCTCTCTCTCTCTCTCTCTCTCTCTCTTCCCCCTCCCTCCCTCATCTCTTCAGGCATAGACTCTCCCGTAGCCTGGGCTGGTTTCAAATTCATTATATAGGTGAAGCTGGCCTTGAACTCCCAATTCTCTTGCTTCCTCCTCGCATTCCCCATCACACTTGGCTTCTCTTTTTTTTCCTTGTGAGACAGAGATTTCCACCTCTTCAAAGGGGCAGGCCACAGCAAAGGCTGGAGGAAAAGGTGGCATACTGGCACCTCTCGGAAGGGGTGTTAGGGTGGCTGTCCATCCTCCTCGAGGGGGTTCAGTCTTGGCTCAAAGAGGCCTGGCCCTTGGCACTCACTGCTCCACTGCCTGGGCCCATCTTTCCCACAGACCCCTCTGGGCCTAGACATCATCTTGCTAAGAACTTAGTTAGCTTTTAACTCTGGGTCTGATGCCTTAGACACTGAATCTACCCTGGATGCCCATGTGAGAGACACCCAGTGGATTGTGTCTGGGCCCAGTCCTCCGCTGGCCACAGCCTGGGCCCAGGCCAGGCCTGGACCTCGAGGCCTTGTTACAGGGCTTCTAAGAGCCAATTGCAGGACAAAGCCCGATCCTGTCATTTAAGAGCAAATCACTCCTCACTCTGGGCGATAAAATTCCTCCCTATGAGAATCAGGAAAGTGGGTTGGGGAGATGGCTCAGTGGGTAAAATACTTGTTGCATGAGGACCTGAGTTCAGATCCCCAGAAGTGGTGGTGCACGTGGGTCATCACAGAACTCCCATCACAAGCTGGGAGATGGAGCTGGGAAGTCCATGGGCGGGCTAGCCTAGTGTACACAGCAGCAAACAAGGTGGGGGTGAAAAGGGACACCCGATTGTCCTCTGCCCTCTACACATGAGCGGGGGCACACACAGACCTGCACACACACATACACACATAGAATTTTAAGAGGAGAGAAAATGAGAAAAGCCACTCAGTGAGCCCAGTATGGCTTGCTGGTATGTGCCAAGCCACAGGGTTAGGAGATACGGCATCAAAGACAGGACATAAAACACAGGGACTAGCTGGGCAGTGGTGGCACACACCTTTAATTGTAGCAGTTGGGAAGCAGAGGCAGGAGGATTTCTGTGAGTTAGAGGCCAGCCTGGTCATCTACAGAGTGAGTTCCAGGACAGCCGGAGTTACACAATGAAACCCTGTCTTGAAAAACAAAATGGACAAATCAATGAACACCACGAGGTCTGGGCAGGAGCAGCCAGGGCTGGGAGGAGGTGGGGGAACAGGTAGCTGTGGAGGTCAGGGGATTTGTTTACAAAAGCATCTCCCTCCTCTCTACCTTTTCACTCCCACACAGAGAAGACACACCAGAAGCAAGCCCATGTGCACGCACATGCTGGTACACACACACACGCGCGCGCACGTACACTCACATGCGCGCACATACATGCACACATGCACCTATAGGTAGGTACATGTGCACACACATGCAGGTGCACACACACACGTACGTTCACGTGTGCATGCACACACGCACTAGCACGTAGAAACCCGTATGTAGGCACGAGCACTCACCGTCTTCTCGGCAGGCAGCATATGGTCTGCCACTTAACAGCCGAGTCCTGCCAATCGGGGACCATTAGGGTGGGTTCTTTTCCCAGCGTCAAATGCTGCAGGCTATAAATTGCGATTAACACCGGTGCCAAAATAGCACTTAGCAAAAATAAGCATGCTATTGACATCTGGTGGATCCTGTCCCCAGTGGAGAAGGAGAGAAAATTCTCACTTGAAGTCAAAGGACTATTGCAAGAGATGCTAAGAATACAAGGCCTACTATTGAGGGTGCTTCCTCAGGCAGTTTGCACCCCAGCCTCCTGCAACCAGGCCCCTCCCTGTCAGCCCAGTTTCTGGACACAAATGATGCCACTAGCGAAAACTGCTGGCTCCCAAGACCTGCCCATCCACAAGATTGACAGGACAGCTCTGTCCTTCGGGATACAATCCCAGCAGAAAGGTAATTTCCTGTCTGAACAGGGCTGCCGTTTCTTGTTTTGTTGTGTTGTTTTTACTGTTGTTGCTGTTTGAGATAGGGTTTCTATATAGCCCTGGCTGGTCTAGAACTCACGATGTAGACCAGGCTGGCCTCAAACTCACCTGCCTCTGCCTCCCGAGTGCTGGGATTAAAGCCTACACCACCACACCCAGCTGAGTGGAACTTCCTTCAAAGGAAGAAGTCACAAGGACTCTTGGGACCTGACACCTCCAAGCAACCTGCCTCCCTCATAGGCTGTGACCAGCTTGTCTTGTTTTAAGGACAAGCAGCAGTTGGTCCTGGATAGCCTACATGGCAGTCTTCAGGTGTCAGCTTAATGCTTTAAAGACACACCCAGAAACTGGGGAAGGAGTTCCACCACCTCTGGGACCCTTGTCTACAGCTGTGTGGGCCCTCAGTCTGCCCTGGAATCTTGGCAGCCGGTCTCATGGCCTGCAATGCCAGGAAAAGGTAAGACAGGCTCACAGCTCTCAGAAAGCACGTTAGGTCTGTGAAGGCAAGGGCTGCGGGGATGGGGTGGGTATCCCCTGGGATCAGCCTACAGACAGAAGGATCCCTCTTGGAGAGAGGGAGGATTCCCTCAGACTGGATGAGAGGGGAGGGCTTGGCACTACAGACCTTGTTAAACACTGGGGCTAGAACAGCAGGGGGCAGGCAGAGCCTGGGCCTGAGGGCTGTTTCCCTAATGCTGTACCCAGAGCCAGGTCAGAAGCCCCCAGGCCTCCCCAGGCTCCTGCTGCTAGGCACAGCCTGCCTGAGACCACAGGGCATGCGCCCAGAGGCCAGTTCACTCTGCTCCTTACCAAGAAGGGAAGCTGAGGAGACCACAGCTTCAGAGGACCAGTTGCCAAGGAGACCACAGCTTCGGAGGACCAGTAGCCAAGAAGGGGCAGGGAGAGGGCAGGCTGAGTCTGTAAAGGTCACAGCAGCACGTGAGGCCTGCTGGCCCTGCATGGACTGAGGTGTCCCAACTGGAAGCTACCTGGATCAATGCCCACAGTGTACGGGTGACCCTTCACCAGGAGAGGCCCAGGCAGGAGTCTAGTTGAACCAATCCAACCACAGCTCTCACAAGGCCCCTCTAGGGTTACTGACTTAGTCTCACTAGTGTGAAGAATGGGTTGAGGCCACAAACACTGGGTCCCCCCTCTTCTTTCCTTTTTTTTTTTTTTTTGGTTTTTCGAGACAGGGTTTCACTGTGGCTTTGGAGCCTGTCCTGGAACTAGCTCTTGTAGACCAGGCTGGTCTCGATCCGCCTGCCTCTGCCTCCCGAGTGCTGGGATTAAAGGCGTGCGCCACCACCACCCGGCTCCTTTTTTTTTTTTTTTGTTTGTTTGTTTGTTTATCAAGATTAAGACAAGGTCTTAAGTAGCCCATGCTAATCTCTACCTCAATTATATAGCTGAGGACAACCCAAGTTATCCTTGACCTCCCGAATGCTGTGATTACAGGTGTGAGCCGCCATGAAGGTGCTGGGGTCAGAAACCACGGTCCGTGCACACCCTCTAACTCAAGTCGCACCCACGGCTCTCAGTGAATCTCTGTAATGCCCACTCTGGCTTTCACTGTTTTTAACTATTCTATTGAGGCCAGAGGGTGTGGACTTCCCAGGAAGCATTCAGACCTCCAAAGCACCTTGAGTTTTTAAGCAGAAGCCCAGGAACGGAGGGGAGAAGTGAGCACTTGCGAGACACAGGCCCAGCTCCTCAGGCTCAGCTCCTCAGGCTCAGCTCAGGAATGAGCCATCCCACAGTTCCTGCCCAGGGAACCCTCTGGCACAGGCATCAGTGGCTGAAAACATCCCAGAGACATCATTGGGTTAAAACATTTTCTTTTTTTGGGGTGGGGATGGAACCCAGGGCCTCACACACACACACACACACACACACACACACACACACACACACACACACACGTTAGACCACGCCCTAATGTATCAATAGGAAAGGAGCCAAAGGCTCACAGATGTTATCGTGGGGAGGTCACAGTGAGAGCCCGGCCCACACTGACCCCACGTGGACACAGTCACATGACTGAGCTCAACTGTAGATGGCCATGGACAAAGGGACAGTCCCCAGACTGAAGTGAGTGGGGGGACTGGGGAGTGTGGCCAGGCCCCGAAGGCCAGGATGGCCCATTCACTGCTCTCGGTCATGGTCACCTCATCCCTAGTCACCATGCCCAAGCACACCCCTGAGAGGGAGAGGGAACCTGGGGGACTGGCGTGAATGTCTCGGAACAACCACAAACTCTTCCTTCCTGTCACAAAGCAAGGACCCACTCTCCTGGTTCCTTGGACCCTTGTGGAGACTCAGACTCAGGCTCTGCTGCAGGAGTGGCGGGGCTGGGGCCAGACAGTCCTCTCACCACCACAAGTTCGGCGGCTCCTCAGCCACTCTGCTTTTAAATAAGGTGATCTCGTCCAGGTGCACCATGGGGACATCTCGGATGACATCTGTCAGGCCCTCGTGGAGCAGGGGGAAGATGACGACGTTCAATGCGGGCCTCTCAGCCTGGAAACTGAACCAGAGACCAGCCATTAATGGGGCTGTGTGGGTTGAGGATGTAGCTCAGAAGGGGAAGGGCTCGGGGAGCCACAGGAGACCCTGGGTTCAGTCTCCAGCACACATGCCTCTGTCTACTTAAGCCATCAGATCCTAGAGCCAGGAAGCAGAATGGAGGGAGACAGGGGTTGTGGCTGCGCCGGGGCCAGACAGTCAGTGTCTAACACACATGGAGCATCTGTCTGGACAGAGCAGTGATGAGCACACACTTAGCACAGCGACAGGCTGGGAGATGGCTCAGCAGTTAAGAGCACTCTGGCTACAACTGGGCAGTGGTGGAGCACACTTTTTTTAAAAAATATTTAAATATTTATTTATTTATTTATTTTGTATACAGTATTCTGTCTGTGTGTATGCCTGAAGGCCAGAAGAGGGCACCAGACCCTATTACAGATGGTTGTGAGCCACCATGTGGTTGCTGGGAATTGAACTCAGGACCTTTGGAAGAGCAGGCAATGCTCTTAACCTCTGTGCCATCTCTCCAGCCCCCTGGAGCACACTTTTAATCCCAGCACTCAGGAGTCAGAGGCAGGAGGATCAAACTATTAGCTTGAAGCCAGTCTGGTCCACACAGTGAATTCCAGGCTAACAAAGACCACATAGGGAGACCCTGTCTCAGAGGAAACAAAACAAAAACTTAGGCAGGAGCAAAACTCACTTGGAGTGAGATGAGAGGCAGGGATGGCAAAATGCTTTGTTTGGCCGGATGTTCAAGTCACCTCCTCTCTGCCCATAGAGCTCCTGTCCTCAGCCTCAGGAGCCCAAAGCTGGGCACACCTCACCCCACTGTTCTTAAACATTCCCTTGCACTGTTTCCATAGAGACATCAGAAAAGGCGGGGTTCAGACCAAAGCTGAGGAGGAAGACACACCCCATGCCATTCTTCACTGAGCTGCGACAGACAACTGATGGCGTCCGAACCACACAACCCAACCACTCTCAGACCAGCGCTGGCTGAGCGCGCGGCAACGGGACCTGACTCATCCGGAAGGCTGGAGGCTCTGGGAGGACTGGAAACACAGCTCAGTGGCTAAAGACACGGGCTGCTCTTGCAGAGGACCTGCACTGGATTCCCAGCACCCACACGGCAGTGCACAGCTGTCTGTGACTGCAGCTCTAGGGGGATGCCGAACTCTCTACTGGCTTCTGCAGGTAACTGGACCCACATGTGTACACATAGACACATAGCACATAAAAAACAACTGGAGGCTCTGGAATAAGAATAGAATCCCCAGGTCACACCACCTCAGGCTCCACTCCCAGGCAGACAGACTACCAAATGAAACACCAAATGTTTTCCTATCTGAAATAGCCTATGGCCCCAGGCAGGCTCCTTCATGTCCCTTACTGACCCTTGTGTGCTGCCAATGCTACGGGGGCCCAAGCTCCTTGGCCGTCTTCTCCAGGCCTCACAGTTCACAGCTCCTGGAGCTGGAATTTAGCAGTCACCAGCTCAGTAACCAGGTCACAGTTCTCCCAACTGAGCCGGCCATCTTGCCAGGTGGGAACATCCCAACAGCCTGCTCTAGTGCTACCAGGACGCAGTGCTGAGCCAGACAATGCCCAGACACCGTGTGCCCCGTACAGAAGCTGTGCAGGCTTCAAGGCAGTGCAAAGCCTGCTCTTTTTTCCCCTCCCTCCCTCCCTTTCTGATTTACTTCCTTCTTTCTCTCCCCAAGACAGGGTTTCTCTGTGTAGCCCTAGATGTCCTGGAACTCACTCTGTAGACCAGGCTGGCCTCGAAACTCGCAGAGAACTGCCTGCCTCTGCCTCCCAAGTGCTGGGATTAAAGGCATGGGCCACCCACCATGGTCAGCTTCCTTTGTTAATTTTTTGAGACATAAATACACATTTCATGCTTCCCAGGTTGGCCTCAGACTTGCTAAGCAGTTGAGGATGACGCTGAACTTCAGATCCTCCTGCCCCCATCTCTCAAGCACTGGGGCTCTAAACCTGCACCACCGGGCCCAGTCTGTACCATGGTGGGCTGGAACCCAGGGCTCTGTGCATGCGAGGCAGGTATTAGACCAACCAAGCCACATCCCAGCCCCTAATCCATTCTTGAAAACTGATACCCGAGTCCAAGGCTCTCGGTGTTGGCCAGACTTAAGCAATCCCCGTTTCCACCCGAGAACACGCTCCTCTTTGCAGACCAGACACAGAGCAAGCTGTTTTCCTGGCATGGAGAGCCACATCTGTGCACTCAGTCTTGAGCGCAGCCCCCAGGGCTGCTGAAGGCCAGAGCTTGCCAGAACACAGCGGCAGAGGCCGAGCTGGCAAGCTAGAAGAACGCCCCTGTGTCTACAGGGGACATGGCAGGGGCTGGGGCAGCCAGTGCCCCAACATACAGCAACAGGCTACAAACACGTGTGGGAAGGCAGTGCCAACTGGGCCTCCAGAGAGAATGGCATGACCACCACAGTGGGCAGCAGACCTCTGTCACCAGCCTGAGAGGAACTGGAGAACAGTTTGGGATTCCTGAGTCTTTAGGATGGGAAGCCCTGGCTCTGCTCACCTTCACTGGCCACGGCAGTCACGCATGCTCCTAAGCTCGGGCCCGGCTGCAGAGAAAAGAGGTCAAGCCAGCATGCCCGGGCCATGTGGAGGTGCTATGAAGAGCCTATGGTGGGCAGAACATGAGGAGGAAAGCTGGGGTGATGGCACTGGGTGTGATGGGTGGCAACTGTACCCACATCCCAGCTCATCAGGGTGGCCGTGGAGCTGGTCTATCACTAAAAGGTCTTGGCTGTGGCCGGAAGATGCTGCTCCCCAGAGATAAAGTCAGGAGAAGCTCACTTAGGGTCTCGGGACTGGTGAGTCATGGTGCAGGCGAGACATCAGTAGTGCCAAGTGACCGGTGACATGAGGTCCCCCATCCCCAGGGCTGATAAGGAACAAGCCCAGGCGGGAGAGCCCAGGGAAGCAGGGACTTATATATACAGGTCTAAGAAACAGAGGTCAAAAAGAGGAGTTCAGGGTGGGTTCAGCCGACTGTAAGTTAGGGCCCGGACCCTGATGTCACAGTGCTGCAGGCAGACTGGCCACACACAGAACATATGGGTGGGGGCAGGGTCAGTGCTGGGCAGGTGTGTGTGCCTGCGGCCAGGAGCAGGTGGAAGGTCCGGGGTACCGGCAGGAACTAGGCTAAGCTGGGCAAGCACATCTCTCCCCTTCACAAGCCCCCAGGGTCCATGAGTAATCTGTCGCTGAGTCGGGTACCCAGACACTGAATTCGGACCTCATATGGGGCCAAAGAGGTGCAAACAGGAGAGGGACATGAGAAGAACATGATCCAACACCCAGTGGGGCTGCACGGGGCAGCAGGTGGGGAAGGAGCTGGCATGGCGCCGCGTGCCTACCATGCCAGCACTGGGGAGGGTAAGATGTCAGCCCCCAGAACCGCACTGGATGCAAAATCCCAAGGCTGGGACATGGCTCACCCGCAGAAGATTTACCTGATATACACAGGCCCTAACACAGCGTAAATCTAATGTGGCAGCATATTTCTGTAAGGCCCAAACTTGACAAGTAGAGAGGGAGGATCAGAAGGTTAAGGTAATCCTTACTGCATCAGAGGCTAGCCTGGGCTCCATAAGACCTCATCTCAAAAAAAAAAAAAAAAAAAAAAAGGCCTGGTGGAGAACAAGCAGAGTCCCAGGCACTGTGTATGGCATTGGGTCCAGTTGCTTCCTGTGAGGTGGGGAGAATCCAAATTCAAACCCCAAAACATGAAGGGCTGCAGTGTTGTCATCAAAAACAAAAAAGCCGAACACAGGAGGGTAAGAAAGAAACCACTGCCTAGGACCTGAGGCACACAAGCACACAAGCACACAAGCAGCCCAAAGTTCAGCGCTTCCCTGAGCTCTCCAGACAGGAAAAGAAGAACACTGGGGGCTGCTCCATATAGCTGAGGCCAGCTTGGGCAACCCCAAAAGTGGTATAACATGCCTACAAGCCTATAATCTCAGCACTCGGGAGGTAGATGGAGGCAGGAGGTGGAGAAGCTGAAGGTCATTCTCAAGGCCAGCCTGAATTACAAAAACCCTGTGAAAAGTTTCTAAACCAAACAAACAACAGCATCAGGAAAGAGGACAGCCCGCTGCCCTGGCTGCTTCTCACAAACACCCTGGGCACTGAGTGATGGCTGCTGGGAGCAACACTGCCACCTGCTGGAGCACTGCAGCAGAGCGCCCTGCACGACTGGGCTCATGGAGAGGCTGGTGCCACGCTGGGGGAGGGGGCTCTACAGATGGCAAGGGTGCAGCAGAGGCATCCCCAGAACAGCTCTTCTGCCAGCCTCTAGGGCTCTGCTGTGGCCTGAGGCTGCCAGCAATCCAGGAGAAGGATTTGTGCTGGCCTGGGTCAGGACTTCCCCTGAAGGGCTTCTCACACCAGCAGCACAGTTCCCTCTTCCTCATTTACATTTTCTTAAGACAGAGTATCATGTAGCCCAGGCTAGCCTCAAACTCACTATGTAGCAGGGGACGACTCTGAATCCTGCCTCCACCAGTCAAGAGCTGAGATTACAGGCGTGTGGCAGCTCATCTGTGGCACCAGCAAGACTGAGCTTATTCATTTAGGCTCATGTATGTGTGTCAGTCCACACGTTTATGTGCACCACATGTGTACAGGTACCCAGAGGGGCCAGGCGTCCACGGAGTACCCTGGAACTAGTGCTGCAGGCAGCTGCAGCTGCGGGCCCTCGGCAGGAGCAGTGAGCGCTCCTAACTGCTGAGTCATCTCTCTAGCTCCACACTGCAAGAACTGAACCCAGGGTCTGGTGGCTGCCCGGCAAGCACGCTACTAAGTTAAGCTCTCTGTCCCTTACTTGTCTTTGAAATAGTCTTGTTGTATACCCCAAGCTGGCCTTGAACTCACCATGTAGCCCAGGCCGACCCACACACCCTATTCTGTCTCAGCCTTCTCAGCATCATCCTCCATCCTAGCTTCTCTCTCCAGTTCTGTCCTGCATGCTGCCAACTGGTCCGGTGCTTCCTGCCTCAATACCCTCATCTGTAAGCTGCAGTTACTACAACCATTTCTTAGGACCCCTGTGGTGGAAGGAGAGCTAACTCTTGAAAGCTGACCTCTGACCTCTCCACACATGCTGTGGCCTGCACACCTGTCCCACAAACATACACAAAATAAATAAATGTATAAATGTAATACAAAATTTAAATACTCTAAGTCCATCTGGTACCTGATAACATGACCAACACCATGGATAAAGCAGGGGAGCCAGGAGCAGGTTTCTTGTGGCGGCATTTCAGTGAGTGGAGAAAGGCCAAGACAGGACACAAGACCACCACCAACGATCAGGCAATGCACGCTGTGCCCCAAAGTCCTCGTGCTGAAACCCTACTCCTGACATGCGGCTAGCAAAAGGGACGAGTGCGGCACAGTGCCTTGGCATGAGATCCCAGTACTCCAGAGGCAGAGGCAGGAAGAGCCACATGTTCGAGGGAACCTGGCTTGCACAGTGATTCCAACCTACCCTGAGATACAGAGAGACCCTGTCTCAACAACAGAAGGTGGAGCTTCGGGAGGTTTGAAGGCAGAGCCTTCGCAATGATGGGGGCAGGATCAAGAAGTTCTTCCTGGGCCCACTTGAAACACAGTGAACTAAGTAAGACTGCCTCCAGAACCCAGGATAAACTCTGTAGCTAAGGCTAGCCCTGAACTCCCCGGATCCTTGTGTAGCAGCCTTTCAAGTAGCTGAGACCAGAGACCATCTATAGGAACTAGTCCCCTGCAGGAGATCAGGCTCTCTGATCATGCTGCTAGGATCTGGTACTCCATCTTCCGAAAGTGGGAGCTGGGCTGGGGACACTGATGCTGTCCAAGACCTCCCAGCCACCAACAGACCATGCCAGGCCATGCCACTCACCTCCGGAGGAGTGACTGCTGCAGGCTCTTGCAGGCGGTGAGGGATTCTCCAGTGAACATGTGACACACGACAACATGCAGGCAACGGGCCATAAAGGCCAGCACGGCTTCCGGCTGCACGGTACCACTTCGAGACACCAGGCACAGGCGCTCCAGAGATGAACACTGGCCCAGTGCCTGGAAGAACTGAGCATTGGCGCTGAAATAGGGCTGCTCCAGCCTGCGGGGAGAAGGGTGTGAGTGCCAGGGACTCGGCTCTCCCTAGGATGAGATGCGGCTAGTCACTGTCTGCAGACCCTGCCAGCTCGCACTGGCTCAAGGCCATCTGTCCTCCTTCCTCAGCAAGCTGTTGTCCCACCCCCATACTGTCACGCCTGCTGGCCTTAGGAGGATTCACACATGACGCAGCCTTGGGGAGTCAGTCTGATGGCAGAGACAAACCGGGAGAAAGTGGGGGTCCAGCAGGCTAGAGTGGGTGGGGAAAGGGCAGAAAAGGAAGAAAGCCCCTCAGGGATGCTTCACCAAGGGTACCAGTCACCTACATCATCTATAGAGCCCCAAGCGACACACACTCACATTGGAATTTTGATTTCCCCCCCTTTTAAATAAAAAAGTATAGTCATTTATATTTTATACATATGTGTGTGAATTCCTGCACGTATGTGTACCGTGTGTGTGTGCCTTGTACCCAAGGAGGGCAGAAGAGGCATTAAATCCCCTAGAAACAGAGCTACCAGTGGTTGTGAGCCACTTGTTTCTGGGAACTGATTCCAGGTCCTCTGCAAGCATACAATACGCTCTTAACCGCTGAGCCAGTTCTCCATGGCCCCACCCCACCCCACCCCCCCTTTTTTTTTTTCATTTTTGTTAGCGTGATGCCATGGACTGAACTCAGGCACTCAAGCGTGCCAGCCAGGCTCTACTACTGAGCTACAACCTCAGACTTCACTTTTTTTTTTTTCTAATTTTAACTGATTTTTTTCTCTCAAGACAGGGTCTCTGTGCAGCCCTGGCTGGCCTTGAACTCACTCTGTCTATTAATTCAGAGATCCGCCTACCTCTGCCTCTCAAGTGCTGCTATTACAGGTGTGTACCACCACCACCGCCTGGCTTTCCATGGTGTGGGAACTGAGCTTAGGCCTCAGACACGCTAGGCTAGGCAGGCATTCCTCTACTGACCCATACTCCCGGCCCTTTAGTTTTTTAACCTTGTTTTATTCTTTCAGTTTTGCATACGCACATCATGTAAATTAGTCATTTTCACCCCTCAATAATTTCTATTTTGAGGCAGGGTCTCACTCTGCTGCCAAGGCTAGCCTTGAATTCAGTGGTCCTCCTGCCTCAGCTTCTCAAGTACTTCTTTATAGGGTGTGAAAGTGGTAGGAAGCAGGGGTTGCAGGGCCCCTTGCAAGGGAACCTTGAAGTTACCAGCAGCGTGTGTGTGTGTGTGTGTGTGTGTGTGTGTGTGTGTGTGTGTGTCCCTGTCCCCTCCCCTTCCCCAGCAGCAGGGAATGGAATCCCAGTGCCAGGCAGCAGCCATCACCTCTACCAGTAGGTGGCAGCATGGACTTGCACTACAGGCCCAGGTGTCCCCAGGCCATCTGAGTATGTGTCCCCTACATACTTTTAAACCTTTTCCAATTAGACAGCCACTTATAGAACCTTGCCCTGAAAGAACTAATATGTCAGTGTTCAGCCTGCTGTGAATATCCTATCTCTCTCCCTCCCCAACTGTGGGGCCAATGCACCCTTACCCTCTCCCTGTGCACAAGACTGGTCAGCACCCAGGGCGGCTGGGAAACTGACCTAAAGGAGGTACCATCTGAGGCACCTGAGGGTAGACAGGGAACAACAAGGAAATGGGATCCACCCAGATCAGACCTCGTCCTAACTCTGACCCTTCCCAACCGGCTCAAACCACCAGCCAGAAAACACCGGACCTCTCCTTGCCATTCAGCTCTCTGGGGTGAATGTGCCCACCCCCTCCGGCTTAAGGAGCTGACGCAGCGCTGAGCCAGGCGGGATGAGGGAGAATGACAGCTGAGAGCTGCTCCTGAGACCGTGCCAGCCCTGGCTCAAGTGACTCTCTTGTTTCCGCCCAGGCAGCGGAGGGTGACTCAGGGTAACACCCGCCTCCAGCCGTGGGAAAGGTGGCACCCTTTTCTGCCTGACACGTGATCCTCTCACCACAGGGGTGTGCCCCAAACCCACAGCCAGAACAACCTGTCCCTGTGGCACCTCCACCCCACAGGGAGCCAGGCTGGTACGAACTCGGGTTCAGGGCAGACTGTGGTGGAGGCGGCAGCAGGTGAGCCTGGGAGTCCCAGGGCTGCGATCAGAATACTCCCCAAGAAAATGCGGGTGCCCCATGCAGCCCCTGCAACCCCAGGAAGCAACTCCCTGGCGAGCAAAGACTCTGGAGCCTATACTAGCTCCTGGCACCTGCTGCATCATCTCTGGGCTCGCCTGCTCAGAAGGCAGTGATCCAGAGGAATGGCGCCATTTGGCTGCTCTAGGAGCCTGTGTTTGTTCAGAACAGGCAGTACCTCACACAGCAGACAGTTCTGAGGTTGTGGGCACAGGCTGGAGCCCTGGGTAGAGATGCCACTATGAACTGTCATCAAGCTCTTGCAAGCCTACAAGACAAACTTATCCCCAGTCCTACAGGTCCTGCCTCTGGAGAGGATGCCAGGTCCCAGGGACAAACCAGCATACAGCCCTGGCTGGGTTGAATCCACAATCCTCCCGACTCAGCCTCCCTACACAGCAGGTGTGACCCATCACACCTACTGCAAAAACACAAGGCTTGCTGGACCCGCGGAAAACAAACACTGACAGCAAGATGAAGAAAATCTAGAAAGACCTTGGCTCTGATAGATTCAAAGGCTCACCTGGTACCCTTGAATTTAGGAAATGGTCCTACTCATGGAAGGAAGTCAACAGCAGCAGCCCAGCAGAGTTATACATCAAAAATATTCTCTGATCCATTTTTCTTTTCTTTTCTTGAGACAGTCTCTTGTAGCCCAGGCTGGCCCAAACTATGTAGCTAAGGATGACCTTGAATCTCTGCTCCTCCTCCTCCCCACACCCAGTTTGTATGGCACTGAGGTTGGAACCCCAGACTTTGCATCTGTCAGGCGAGCTCTTTGTTGACTGAGCTGCATCCCCAGCCTGATTCTGTGATACATTTACCATTCTGGCAAACAATGACCATGCATGCCCTAACCGTGGCTTCAGGAAAGGCCAGGGGTGTGACAGGACAGGCACAGGAAGACACAAGTGTGAGAGACACCACAAAGGAAGCAGTAAGGAAACGGAGGGCCTAGTGACTACAGGGAGCCACAGATGCAGCCAAGGAGGAAGGCGTCCATCTGTGTGCCTGGGAGAGGCAAAGGCAGCTGTGGGAGAGGGAGGAGGGGCGGCGGAAGTGGCAGACTTTCCCACTATAGCTACAGAGTTTGCTCTTAAGGGAGAGAGAACCCAAGGCTCACATTATCTTTGTCTTGTTTTTGTTGTTCAAATAGAGTCTGGGTAGCCCAGGCTGGCTTCGAATTCACTGTGGAGCCAAGGCTGACCTTGAGCTCCAGGCTCCACCTCTTGAGAGCTGGAATGATGCTGGTGTACAGTCACAATATCTGATTCTTTGTGTGTCTGGGGGTGGTGGTGCGGGGGTGCTGTTGCCTTTGAAGACAAGGTTTCATTCTATTCCAGGCTGACCTTGACTCAAGGCAATCCTCCAGCCTTAGCCTCCTGATTTTAGGCATATGTCACCACAAACAACTGACTGGGACTTATAAACAGGGGGTGTAAGAAAGCCCACAGGTGGGTTCCTAAAGCCAGTAGAGCCAGAAGGCAGAGGACCCATGTACATAGGCACCCAGGCATGGATACCAGCTGTCCACAGAGACCTCCTGGGCTGTAGCTCTGCTCAGCTGAGGATCAAGCCGGAGCAGCAGGGCAAGTGACCAGATAAGACAGAGGCTTCAAACCCAGACAGCCATAGCGTGGCTTTGCTCCAAGGAGGACAGGAAGTAGAGCTCACAGTTCGGCCAAGCAGCTCTGGAAGGTTCTGGGCCTTTAGCAACACAGGACCTGCTGACTTCCTGTCACGCTGAAGCTAGGCAGGGAACAAGGCAAAGAACACACCCTGTCCTCCCTTGTGGGTCCTGAGGACAGATTGGTAGTCAAGAGCCTCCTGCTTCAGATCCGACATCAGCGGCCATGGATGCTGGGAGAGAACGGTCAGCTTTGCGCCTGCTCAAGGCACAGCTCTGGTGCTGGCTAGTTTTAAGTCAACTTGTCCCAAGCTAGAGTCATCTGATAGGAAGGAGCCTCAGTTGAGAAAATGCTTCCATAAGACTGGGCTGTAAGCAGATAAACCTGTAGGGCACTTTTTGAAAATTAGTGATTGATGTGGGAGAGCCCAGCTCATGGAAGGCGGTGGCTCTGTAAGAAAGCAGGCTGAGCAAGCCATAAGGAGCAAGCCAGTAAGCAGCACCCCTCCGTGGCCTCTACATCAGCTCCTGCCTCCAGGTTCCTGCCCTGTTTGAGTTCCTGTCATGACAGGAGTGTAGGAGTGTAAGCCTTCAAGCTGTTTTTGGTCATGGAACTTCATCACAGCAATAGAAACCCTAAGATAGGCACCAAAGAAGCAGTAACTAACTGTACTAGAGAGAGTGACAACCACATACAAGTCCCTTTAGGCTGACATGGCTTTGTGGCCCCGATGATGCTTCCAAGCACCCACCAACAGCTATGGACTGGCAGAATCCTCAAGTCCTGTCCAGAGCCAGGGACTTCACTACGCGGTGTGTCCTACATGAACCTCGTGTGGTAGGGCATAGAATTAATCCCAGCACTTGAGAGGCAGAGGCAGGACAACCAGAAACCTCAGTCATCCTCAGATGTACAGAAAGGAGGCCAGTCTAGGACACAAGAGACCCTGCCCCAGCAGGAAAAAGGATGCTTACAACTGAAGCATGATGGGCACACTTAGGACCCACATGCTCTAGAGGTGAAGGCAGGAGGGTCAGAGTTAAAGACCTTGCTTGATGACAGTAGTGGAGTCAAAGCAAGCCTAAACAACTTGCTTAAAACAAAGTAAAACGAGAGCTGGAGACAGATCGGTGGCAGAGTACTTCCCTGGAATACGCACCGCCCTCACTGTTCATGGGGTGCAGGCCTGTATTTCCAGATGGAATGACACCTAGTTAGAGACCATCTTGGGCTAGACAGAACCAATCTCAAAAACTGAAGAACCAGCCAGGCATAGTGATGCACACCTTTAATCCCAGCACTTGGGAAGCAGAAGCAGGCACATCTCTGAGTTTGAGGCCAGCCAGACACACAGAGTGAGTTCTAGGACAGCCAGTGCTACACAAACACAAAGAAACCTTGTCATAAAAATACAAACAAACAGGCTGGGCGGTGGTGGAACTACAAGAGCTAGTTCCAGGACAGGTTCCAAAACCACAGAGAAACCCTGTCTTGAAAAACCAACCAAACAAACAAAAAGCCAAAACTTCAAGGACTAGGAGGTATGGCTCAGTGGTAGAGCACCTGCCTAGAATCCCCCAGTGAAAGGCTAGGGTGTAGCTCAGTGGTAGAGCTCCTGCCTAGAATCCCCCAGTGAGGGGCTGGGGTGTGGCTCAGTGGTAGAGCCCCTGCCTAGAATCCTCCAGTGAGGGGCTAGGGTGTGGCTCAGTGGTAGAGCAGCTGCCTAGAATCCTCCAGTGTGAGGCTGGGGTATGGCTCAGTGGTAGAGGAACAAGACCTTTGTTCTGTGTTCTATTCACACCACAAAAAAACCTTTTTTTTTTTTTTTTTTAAATACACAGGGTCTCACTAATTAGCCCTGACTGTCCTAGAAATCTCTCTGTAGACCAAACTGGACTCCAACTCACTGAGCTCCACCTGTCTCCACCTCCTGAGTAGTGCTGGATACACTAGAACCCTTATCCTTTAAATGTTGGATAATGACAAAAATATCCTTCACTTGAGTATTTCAAGCTTGGCTCTGGAAACACCAGTCATCTTTGTCCTAGGAGTTTAACCCAGAGTCCTGAGCACGCTAAGGGCTCCACCATTGAGCGACGTCCTCAGCCCTTACGTCAATATTTTATTTCAAGCTGCCCAGGCTAGGCTCAGACTCACTCTCAAGGACAAGGCCCATGGCAGGGCCATCTGAGGGCTGTGTGCTCTATTTGCTCCTATTTTCCAGAACAGGTCCTGCCATCCTCCTCAAGGCCACCATTCCCAGAAATCTGATTTCTCCCAGAGATGATCTGAGTCTCCATCCTGCCTGCTCTTGTCCCCACAGGGCACCAGCAGCTCCAGCTGAAGCTCTCCAGTGCTCCTCCGCCTGCCCTCCTGCCCCGTCTCCCTCACCCCCCACCTCCTCCAGTGGTCTGGCTGCTCTGAGTCAAGGAGGTTTGAGGATATTGTCATCTGCTCTGTGCGTCTGGCTCTGGGGAGAAAGGGTCTTGCTAATACAAACCAAGCTGCCCTGGAACTCAAGTCAGTTCTTCTACCTCAGCCTTTTGGATGCTGGGATGCCAGGACTGCAGGTGTGCGTGCACACAGCAAACATTTCCAGAACCCCAAGGCTTGTGTGCACATGCTATCAGACATCCCCTCTACCTTAGTCTGAAGCCTCCAGCCAACTGTGACACATGCTCCAAGAATCACTATGAGGGGTTTGGGACAGCTCAATTGGTAATAGCACTTGGTAGCAGGCTGGAAAGACTGTTTAGTCCACTGGACATTCTTCCAATAGGACCTGGGTTCAATTCCCAGCATCTACATGGCACCTCACAACTGTCTGTACGTAACTCCAGTTCCAGGAAACTAACACCCTCACATCAATGCACATAAAATATATTTTATAAAAAATAGTGCTTGCTAGCAAATATTAGAAACTGAGTTCAACTGGACAGTGGGGCACACGCTTTTCATGCCAGCACTGAGGAGACAGAGGCAGGCGGAACTCTGTGAGTTTGAGGCCAGCCTGGTCTACAGAGCGAGTTCCAGGACAGGAACCAAAGCTACAGAGAAAAAAAGCTGTCTCGAAAAACAAAACAAACAAACAAAAAAAAAAAGAAAGAAAGAAAGAAAAGAAATTGAGTTCTGAGTTCAAATTCCCAACAACCATGTAAAACCCAGGTAGGCAACACATGTCTGTAACCCCCAGGAACTCCCTGGCCAGTTTTCTGAAGAGATAAGCTGTGGCCAACAAGATGGTTCAGAGGGTTAAAGCACTTGCTGTGAAGGTCTAATGACTTACATTCAATCCTCAGACCCCATCTAAAGGTGGAAGGACAGAACCAACTCCACGTGTGCACTCTGGCAATGTATCCCCACGTATACACACACACAAACACACACAGATGATGATAATAATAATTATAGTAATAATAATATAATTTGGGGCTGAGTATAGGAGCACAGCTTCAAGCCCAGCACTCAGGAGGCAGAAACAGGAGGATTTCTGAATTTAAGGCCAGCCTGGTCTACAGAAGTTCCAGGCCAGCCAGAGCCACATAGTGAGACCTTGTCTCAAAAAATGGGGGGTTTGGGAGTGTGGGAAACAGGACTCTGCACTGGAGAGATGCCTCAATGGTTAGGGGCACTGGCTGCCATTCTTGAGGACCCAAGTTCTGTTTCCAGCACCCACATGGTGGCTCACAACCTTCTGTAACTCCAGTTTCAGGGCATCCAACATATTCTTCTGGCCTCCACAGGCACTGCACATATGTGCTACCACAAACATGCATACAGGCAAAACACACATGTAAAACTTAAATAAATCTAAACAACTTTTAATACGGTAAGGGTGTGAATGAAGTAGCTCTGTGTGGGACAATGGGCAGGGCTGAGTTCCTGTGAGAGTGGTGGCAGACGCAATGCTGTCACCTCGGGTCCTCTGTCCCTCCCCTCAGGCTCTCTGCTCTTCACTTCAGGGTCTCCGTCCCTCACCCTCACATTCTCTGCCCCTCACCCCTCAGGTCATCTCCCCTTAACTTCGGTCCCTCCAACCGCAGCCCCTCACCTCAGGTCCTTCAGCCGCTTGCAGTGCTTCAGCATGTCGGCAAGAGCAGGCATGTACACCACCTTCCCCATCATGCCCAGGTTGGCCAACGACAGAGACTGAAGCTGCTGGCACTGTAGGCCAATGCTCACCAGTCCAGAGCCTGTCAGCATGCCTGGCAGCTGCGCTAGTGTCAGATGCCGCAGGAAGGCCAGCTGGCCAATGGCAGCCACCTCTGAGTCCCCGACGTTCTGTGCCCGACTGCAGGGCGGGAGGGAGTTGCGGATGGCAGGCTCGTTGCGGGGCATGGCTGAGGAGAAATTGGACCCTATCAGTTCCAGATGCTCCAGGAAAGGGAGCTTCTTCAGCAGAGACCAGAACACAGAGGCAGGCTGGGTGGACGACTGGCCCAGGAAGGGACTGGGAAAGGCCTGCACCCCAATGCGCACCTTCTTGCCAAAGCCACGGGGCACTGCATGCATGGCCGGCGGGGCAGGCGCACGGTCAGGTCTGGGTGCTGAGTCGGCCACGGAGCAGACGGGCAAAGAGAGGGAACGCAGGTGGCAGAGGCGGGCCAGGAGCTGGCAGAGGTGGCGGCCCAGGCCATCGGAGCTGTGGTGGTGGGCAGCTGAGAGGTTGAGGTGATGCAGGTTACAGCAAGACTCCACCAGCGTCTCCAGGATGCTGCTGTCAATGTCGTCCTCTGCCTTACGGAGCAACGAGTCTGCAGACAGGCAATGCACACAGCCACTGAGGTTGAGGCTGGCCAGACTGCGCAGGTCCTTTCCCCCATTGATGACCCGCTGGATCAGGTGACCACCTGACAGCGTACACCGGCTAAAGCTGAAGTAGAAGGGATTGTTGAATTTCATATGCTGGAGGAGGGTGGAGCCGTTCAGCCACGACTTCGGCAGCTGCAGAGCATCCAAGGCCACGTTGCGAGCCATGGAGTCCAGCAGGTTCTTGGTGGCCCCACTCTCCGCGAAGCTGCCAGGGACAGAGATGAGAAAGGCATGCAGGTTCTCAGGCGTGCGGTCACTAAGCACGGCGAGGTAGAGCCGCACCACCTCCTGGTTGATGTAGCCAGGGGCCAGGCGGGCATAGAAGACACGCAGGTTCTGGTAATGGGGGACATTGCTCTGGCCCACCATGAGCTGGCCTGAGAGGACGGCACCCTCACGTGTGCGGTCCAGGATCTCGAAGTACAGCAGCAGCTTCTGCAGACTGGCACAGCAGGGCACCACACCATAGGATGGTGTGAAAAGTGTCTGCTTGAGTTCCCTGACACGGCTCAGGGTGGCCTTGCACTCACTGCTCAGCTGGCTGGCATCGAAGCCGGGACTTACATCAATGGCCAGGGAGCGCAGGTGCTGCAGGGCCGAAAGCACCTTGGACAGTCGCAGGGAGGTGAGGTGGCAGCCTGACAGGTTCATCTTTACCAGACTGTGACAGCGGGCCACATGTTCGATGGTGGAGCCGGACAACCAATAGCAGCCTGCCATGTTCAACTGCTGGATCTCCCGGCCAATCTCCTTCACCAGCTGCTTCACCTTGTCCTCACTGGCCTGCAGAATGGGGACAGGGCAGGAGAGACGGGTGTCCAGGGCTACTCCCCACTCCTGCTTAGAGCAAAGGAAAGCTTCATGCTGCCAGCAGTGAAGAAACCCCATACCCAGGAAGAAAAGTAGAAAGATGTTCGCTACCACTGGACATGATGGTACATGCCTTTAATCCCAGCACTTGGGATTAAAGCAGAGACAGATGAAATCTCTGTGAGTTTGAGGCCAGCCTGGTCTATAGAGTGAGTTCCAGGACAGGCACCAAAGCTACAGAGAAACCCTGTCTCGAATAAACAAACAAACAAACAAGATGTTTGCTACCCAGGCCTGGTAGCATATGCTTGTCATCTTAGCACATGGGAGGCTGAGGCAGGAGCATTACGAGTTTAACACCAATCTGGACATAGCTAGACTCGTTTCAAAAAGAAAAACAGTAGTTTACTGAAAGCTCTAACTGGGAAAGGAGACAGCTCAGTGGTATGCGCTGCTCTTCCAGAGGGCCTGAGTACAGCTCTCAGGACCCATAGCAGGGGGTCACAACCGCCTGGAACTGCAGCTCCAGAGAATTCAATACCTTTGGGCTCTGGGGGCAAAGCACTCACACGGGTACACTTAAAAATAACTAATCTTCTTAAGCTGTATTTTTTTTCTTTTGCTTTCTCTCTCTCTCTTTAAACTGTTGTTGCATTTTGTTTGTTTTGTTTTGTTTTTATGACAGGGTTTCTCAGCTTTGGCTGTCCTAGAACTCATTCTGTGGCCCAAACTGGCCCTGATCTATCTACCTCTGCCTCCTAAGTGCTGAGATAAGAGGCATGTACCACCATTGTCTTGAACTTGCAGATCCAGTCTCAGCTTCTGAATGGTAGGATTACAGGCCTATGCCATCAGGCACATACATCTGGGCTGTTTATTTGTTTTTGTTTGAGACAAGGCCTTACTGAATTGGTCTGAGCTGTGAGCATCCTGCCTCAGTCTCCTGAGTGCTGGGACTACATGTGTATCCTACCATAGTGGGCTCATATCTCAGGTTAATCAGAGACTTCAGCCCCTCGCCCTTCTGCAGCAGTGTCAACTGCGCCCCCCCCCCCCCCGTGGCGCTTCACAAGGACCTTCTACAATCTGTCCTGTGGTGCAGTAACTCCACCCCAGGGTACCTTTGGGGAAGGAGGCCTCCCGCTGATCCCTGTCACTACAGGCTCTATACCCTCCTGCCGTGGGACACCCACCTACCCTTTTCTACCCTGGCCCTGTCACTGTGTCCTAATGTGTGACTGACCATTCCCGGCTACACAGTCTTATGGGCAAACACAGGCTGGCACCCTGGTTGACGCCGACTTCCTGCCCACGCCTGCCTCACCTGGTAGTCCTTCTGTAGCAGCACAGTGTGCACCAGGCTCTTGTCCAGGCACAGGACCGAGAGCTTCCGGCAGGTGCGCCGCACATTGAGAACCAGGTCTGTGCTGGGGACATGGCTCAGGATATGCAGGAGGATCTCATCTGAGAAGCCCAGCAGGTGGATGTCACCTGCTGCATCTGCAGCTGTGGGGGCAGCATCATCATCATTGGACATGTCCTGGAAGTCGGGGACAGTAGAGGGAGGAGGGAGTCAGTCATTAGATGCTAGCTTAACAAGGAGAGGACCTGAGTTTGGATCCCCAGCACTCACACAGAAGGAGCCGTACAAGGTGGCATATGTCTGGAATCCCAATGCTGGAGATGCACAAACAGGAGGATCCTGCCCCCACAGCAGAAAAATCTTACTAACTCTTCACTCAAGGGTGAAGAACACAGAGTTCCCCAGAATCTCCTCTTAGAACTACACACCAGTGAGAAAGAACCTCTGACGGCCACCATCAACCAAATCCCTTAAGACAGCTTGCCTTATAGCCCAGGCTGGCCTTGAACTCACTAGGTAGCCCAGCCTGAGCTAGAACATGGTGCTGGCAATATACACATGTACCATCACACGTGGCTCCCAACAATCACTTCTACTCCCTTCCTTCCTCCCTCTCTCCCTACCTTCCTTCCTGACAGGGGCTCACGTAGCCCAAACTGACCACAAACTGGCCAAGGATGACCCTGGACTCCTGATCGCCACCTCCCAAGTGCTGGGATCACAGGAATGCACTACCAGGCCCAGTCTACCCAGTGCTGGGACTGGAACCCAGGGCTTCACGCATGTTAGGCGAGCTTGTCCTCTAGCCAAGCAACATGCCAGCCCTCCACAGCCTTTCCCAGTGAACAGCGTATGGTGCATACAGGCCCCTCTCCCACTCTGTTTCCCAGACACATCTACTAGAGCAGGAGCAAAAATTTACGCAAGACGCTCAGTAATGTTCACAGGTGCATACTATACTGAATTTTCCCTCTTTTTTACATTTATATATGTAATTGTGTGTGTGTGTGTATGTCTGTGTGTGAGAGAGTGTTGATGCACAAGGTCCTGTGTTAAATCAAAAAACGGTGGAAGAGAGAGAGAGAAAGTGTGTGCATGTTGGTGCACAAGCGCTTGTGGAAGCCAATTTGTAAAGGTGTGTAAAGTCGGTTCCCTCATCCACTATGGAGTTCTCATAAAACTAAGGTCATGGCTCAGAGGTTACAAGAGCATACTGTTCTTGCTAAGGAGCAGAGTTCAGCTTCCAGCACCCATGTTGGGTGGCTCCTGACTGCCTGTAACCTCAGTTCCAGGGAATCGCATGGTTTCTGTGGGCAACTACACTCATACACCCCAAAACAGACACACACAAATATACATCATCATCATCATCATAATAGCCAGGTGGTGATGGCGCAGGCCTTTAATCCCAGCCTTCAGGAGGCAGAAGCAGGTGAATCTCTGAGTTCGAGGCTAGCCTGGTCTACAGAGCAAGTTCCAGGATAGCCAGGGCTACACAGAGAAACCCTTCTCAAGAAAAGAAAGAAGGGAGAGAGGGAGGGAGGGAGAGAAGGAGGAAGAGAAGGATAGACAGACACACACCATAGCCTGGGTCTGGAGCAAGACTCCAGATGCCACCTTCAGGGCCAGCTCCCCACACTCAGGGTAGGCACTTGATGAAGGAGATGAAATACCTTGTGCAGTTTTCTGATGTCACTATGGAGCTGACAGGCCTGGAACGCCCCATTTTCTAACCTCGGCTTTCTAAGAGCTAGGATTATAGGTGTGCACCACCACTCCCATTGTGAAGAAGGGTTTCCTTGTTTACACTGTTGTTTTGAGTGTGTTGACATTGTAACAACATGTCCAACACATATGTGATGGTGTGAGTTGTGTAGGGAGCCCAGGTGGACGGGGAGTGTCTTCCCAAGTCTCTATCATATTCTCCGGAAGCATTGAGACATTCCAGCCGTCTCACTCCACTTACACGGGATTAGACACAGACACACACCACCTGCTTTGTTTTATGTGGGCTGGAGATGCAGACTCGGGTCCACACGGCTGCACAGCAAGCACTCTGCCAACGGAGCCAGCTCCCTAGATTAGGGATTACTTTTTACTGCCTAAGAGAAAACAAACAAACAAACAAACAAACACGAAACACAAAACCAGGCTAACTCGCCTCCGAATGACAGCGGTTCTGCGCCATGGCCACCTTCCCTTCAGACAGGAGACTCTTCCAGCAACTTAACTGGAATGTGATTGACTGGGAACTATGATGCTCCAAAGCTTGCTAGAGAATTTGAAAAGCCAAGCATGGTGGTGTATTCCTCTAATCCTACAGGCATGTGCATAACATACATGCAAACACAGGAAAACTGAAAGGGAAAAAAAACTTGCAAAAATTAAAAAGGGCTTGGTGTCATGAAATGGCCTCATGGTTCACCAGGCTGACTCAGGCACTGGCCCGGGACACACTGATTCTGTGCTTCCCAATAGTTCCTTCTCCATGAGCCTAAAGCTGCCATCTCCAGCCATTTTCTTCTTCATCAGACCCTGTGTTGTCTCAGAGCAAAAAACGAGGCCCTAAGTTAAGAACTACCCCGTGTATCTGTGTTGATGGCACACACCGGTAGGAGAAGGAGGCAGGATTATAAAGGCCAGCTTTGACCACACCTGTCCCAACAAAAATCAAAAGGAAAGAGAAAAGAAAAAGAACTACTCTGGGGCTGGAGAGATGGCCCAGAGGGTAAGAGCACTGGCTGCTCTTCCAGAGTCCTGAGTTCTGGAGAGTTGACGGCTCAGCTGTTAAGGGCATTTGCTACTCTCATAGAGAACCCAGGTCCAGTTCTCAGCACCCACATGATGGCTGACAATCACCTATAACTCTGGTTCCAGGGGATCCAACAACTTCTTCTGACTTCTGTGGGCACTGCATGCACACGGTACATAAACATACGTGCAAACAAACACACATACACATTAAAAAGGGGGAAAGGGGGGCTGGGTGTGGTGGCACATATCTTTAATCCTAACACTTGTGAGGCAAAGGCAGGAGGATCTCTATGAGGTAAATTTAGGCCAACCGTGATCTATATAACCAGACCCTGTCTCAAAAATAATTAAAGTCAGCACTTAAATCCCAGCACTCAGGAGGTAGAGGCAGGAGGATCTCTGTGAGTTTGAGGCCAGTGTGGTCTATAAAGTAAGTTCTAGGACATCCAGGACTGTTACACAAAGAAACTCTGTCTTGAAAAACCAAATTAATAATATTTATTTACTTACTTTTTTTTTTTTTGGAGACAGGGTTTAGCCGTGTGACAAAGGGTCTCTGCCTCCTGTGCGCTGCGATTAAAGAAAGGCACCACCACTCCTGGTTTTAAAAAAAATTATTTTTTTGGTCAGGCAGTGGTGGGGTATGCCTTTAATCCCAGCATTTTGGAGGTAGAGGCAAGTGGCTCTCTATGAGTTGGAGACCAGCCTGATCTACAGAGCGAGTTCCAGGACAGACGATAAAACTATACAAAGAAACGCTGTCTCAAAAAGGGAAAAAAAAGAAAAAAAGAAAAAAAAATTAAGGTAGAGAGTGGAAGACACCTAACACTGACCTCTGGCCCGCACATGCACCCAGCCATGTGCACAGACAGACAAATTGACACACACAGACACACACATATCATACCATACCATACACAAATAAGATAGACACAGTTTTGTGGATCTATTGTCCCCCCCAATTTAGGAGGCTGAGGCAGGAAGATGGCTTGAACCTCTAAGTTTGACAGCAGCCTGGGCAACAGTACAAGATCTATTTTCAATGGCTCAAACCTTACTGGTGGCTATGTTGCCCACTCAAGGAAGGGAGAGGCTTTTGAGTCAGGACTCCATAGGACCACATGACCAGACACACCTAATCCCTGCCCATACCACTCCTCAAGAGCCAGGGAAATGGCAATGCTACCCTGGACTCTTCTTGCTTGAGACGGACCTTCTAGCATCACACGCCTCTCTCATTCATCTGCAGCTGGACCACACTCTTCCCTGTCCATTGAGGAGACATTTCTGGGCCCAGTTTCCTTCAAGGAAGAAGCATCCAACAGAACCCAGCCATGGTTCTCATACCCATGTTCCATCTATTCTGGAAAACACTTCAAAGTCTCACTGGATAAACACAAGGAAACTCCTAAAACTTAAATGGTGGGCAGTGGTGGTGCACGCCTTTAATCCCAGCACTCGGGAGGCAGAGGCAGAGGCAGAGGCAGGCGGATCTCTTTGAGAGAGAAACCCGGGGGGGGGGGGGGGTGCCCAGAGCCACACCAACCTGATGACCTGAGCTGAAACCCGAGAACTCACATAAAATGTTGGATGCAGTGGCCCCCAGACAGGAGGAGACAGGAGGGTCAGAAGGCAGCTCCTCTGGAGCATGCACCATGGAGGAAACAACAAAGAGGACAGCAGAAGCTGGAGAGAAGGCTTAGTGGTTAGAGGCGACCACTGCTCTTTCAGAGGACCTGAGTTCGGTTCCCAGCATCCACATGGGGAGGGGCTGATAACCAACTATAACCCCACCTCCAGGTGCATGTGATCCCTCCTCAGGCACCTGCACTCGAGTGCACACATACACCCACACACACTTATACATTCATACACATAATTAATAACAAGTACTCGAAACAGGTGAAAGGCAAGAACCAACTCCTGAAAGTGGTCCTCTGAAGTCTGCATGCATGTCCTGCCATGAACATGCCAGTACTCATACACACACATACACACTAATAAAATAAATAAAGTGCACCCACAGGCAGAGTCCTAAGAAAGAACAAATATAAAACTCAGATGGGCAGGCAGCAACTGGGAAGCAGCCAGACCCTCCACCCTTCCCCTGTACTGCTAACTGCAGAGAAAATACTGTAGCTCATGTAACAGAACGCAGTGGGTTCTCCAGCGGACCTAGATCAGAGTTTTGGGGTCAAACCGAAACCCTATCACCCTCCCCCACACCACAATCAGGCTCCAGAAAGAAGTGGGCTGCACTTACGCTGACAGAAAAAACGAAGCGGGGGCTGGGGATGTGGCTGAGTAGGCAGAGTGCTTGCTTAGCATGCACAAAGCCCTGGTTCCATCCTCAGCATGGCATAAAACCTGGCGTGGGGATACACACCTGTAATCCCAGCGTTACAGAGGCTAACACAAGAGAAGTGCTGTAAATTCATGACTAGTCTGGGCTGCACACTGAGTTCCAGGCAAGTCTGGGCTACAGAGTAAAATAAACAAGAAAACAGGAGAGAAAGGTCAACGTCCCAGAGCTGCGAGTGCTGAGTCAACGCCCAGGGAGATGGGGGAAAGGCCTAGAAACTCAGGAGGCAAAGTGAAAATGTCCATCCTGACCATCGGGATTGTGAGCCTGGGAACAGGATGGGGCCTGGGAGAAGGGTAGGAGAGGCCAAGAATGGGCCTCGGAGAAAGGCCAGGGTCGGCAGGGAGCACCAAGGGGACCCCAGCCGCCGGGGCGGGAAAAGCGCGGGTCATACCTCTCCGGAGCTGACCGCCGGAGCTGCAGCCTCGGAGTCCCCCAGCCTGCCAGGGCAGGGATGCTCGAAGCCGGCACCGCCACAGCTCCACAGAAACCCCGGTAAGGGGCGTGGCTGAGTCTCACTTCCGGCGCCCCTCTGTACGTATTTCCTCTGGCGCCCGAATGGACCGGGTGCTGTCGCCATATTGGGTGTGGCCGAGAGGCACCGAGAAGGTCACAAATGTTTGCAGTCAATCCAGCTCGCATCCAGCTCCTGGCGTTTCGCCCTGCACACTGCGCTCCAAGCCACCTGTCACAGCACTCAGGCATCCTACCTGAACTTACCCCTCACTTGTGTTAAAACTCTCGATAGCTCTCTGCACCATCTGACTTACTCTACCTTGTTTTGTTTGCGTCAAGACAAGGTCCCATTGCGTAGACATGGCTGTCCTGGAATTAGCTATGTAGAACAGGCTGGCCTCGAAGTCAGAGAGTTGCGCCTGCCTCTACCTCCCCTCTATACCTAGGCCACTTTATCTTATGGTTATTTTTTTTTTAACCACTGCTGAGGATTGAACCTGAGGGCTCATTTGTGTTAAGTAAGTGCTCTGCCAGTACCCGTCCCACCTAACTAGGCGAGACTCTGGCCGGAATTGTTCTTTGCATGTCAAAACACTGAAGAAATATTTGTTGAATAAATGAATAATGAGTTTCCACACAGAATTTGCAGTTAAAGGTGGTTTACTAGAGCTGGTGAAACAGCTCATCAGGAAAAGGGACTCCCCCACCACCACCACCTTGAACAAGACCCACATGGTAGAAGGAGAAAACCAACTTCCGAAAGCTGTCCTCGAACCTGCGTCTGCACTTTGCCGTGTACTTATGCCCTTGCGCAAGTACACATGGAGAAAGGAAGAAAGGACAGAAAAAAATTAATTAAGGTAATAGTTTTTTTTGTTTTTGTTTTTTTGTTTTTTGGTTTTTTTTTGGTTTTTCGAGACAGGGTTTCTCTGTGACTTTGGAGCCTGTCCTGGAACTAGCTCTTGTAGACCAGGCTGGTCTCGAACTCACAGAGATCCGCCTGCNTTGTAGACCAGGCTGGTCTCGAACTCACAGAGATCCGCCTGCCTCTGCCTCCCGAGTGCTGGGATTAAAGGCGTGCGCCACCACCGCCCGGCTAAGGTAATAGTTTAGAAGGAGCTAGGAGGATATAGTTCAGTTGAATAGCCAACTACTAACCGGCATGTAATCCGGGGTTCTTTCCCCAACACTATATGAACCAAACCAAATAGAGGGACTCTCAGCATTCAAAAGGTGGAAGCAGGCCAGGCGTGGGTGGTGCACACCTTTAATCCCAGCACTTTTAAGAGAGGCCAGCCTGGTCTACAAAGTGAGTTCCAAGACAATCAGGACTATTACACAGAGAAATCTTGTCTCAAAAAAATACCCAAACAAATAAATAAATAATAGATCCTGGACACAACGGGAAAGCTGGGTTTCAATCTCCTGGTTAAGCCCTCCAGTTAGACCACCACAAATGGGGTTCCTATCTCCATCTTTGGAGATACACAATAGTTTCTTCCTTTCTTTCTTCCTTCCTTTCTTTCTTTCCTTCTTTCTTTTTCTTTAGGGTTTTTAGTGACAGGATTTCTCTGTAGCTTTAGAGCCTATCCTGGAACTCACTTGGTAGACCAGCTTGGCCTTGAACTCACAGAGATCCACCTGTGTCTGCCTTAAAAGTTCTGGGATTAAAAGTGTGCGACATCACTACCCAGCAATTTTCTTTCTTTTCTTTTCTCTTCTCTTCTTTTCTTTCTCTCTCTCTCTCTCTCTCTCTCTCTCTCTCTCTTTCTTTCTTTCTTTCTTTCTTTCTTTCTTTCTGAAACCTACTATTTAGTTCAGGCTGGCCTCCTCCTGCCTCTGCTTCCCAAGGGCCGGGGGTTGCAGAGTGTGTGCACATTCCTCAACAAAGGAAGCCAACTTGAAAAGGCTCCCCTTGTGACACTCCAACTTCAGGACTTCTAAGAAAAGGCAAGTCAGTAGTACATGATGAAGAGATGACCAGGCATGGTGGCATACATATTTAATCCCAGCATACATATTAATCCCTTGATCTCTGTGAGTTCAAGGCCAACCTGGTCTACAAGAGCTAGTTCCAGGACAACTAGGACTGTAACACAGAGAGAAACCCTGTCTCAAAAAACCAAATAGATAGATGGATGGATAGATAGATAGATAGATAGATAGATAGATAGATAGATAGAAGTTACTTTTTAAAATTTACTTTCAAGAGGCTAAAGAGATGGCTCAGTAATTAAGACTGTGTGCTGGCCAGATGGTGGTGGCACATGCCTTTAATCCCTGCACTTGTGAGGCAGAGACAGGTGGATCTCTGTGAGTTCAGGGCAAAAAAAAACCAAAACAAAACACATACAGACAAACATTTACATGGGTGTGAGTGGTGTCTTGCCTGTATGTGTATCTGTGTACCACATGCAGGCCATACCCACAGATGTCAGATCCTCTGGGACTGGAGTTACAGACAGTTGCGAGCTACCATGTGGGTGTTGGGATTCAAACCCAAGTCCTTTCCTAAAGCAGAGTGCTTACAACTGCTGGGCCATCGCTTCTAGCCCAACCCCCCGAGTGTTTTCACTGCAGGACCAAGTGCTATCAGTTACGACAGTGGTCAGTTCAAGTGTGCAGACCCACAGGGGTACAGCATCAAGAGGAAACCCTGTTGCTTGCTGCAGCCTCAGCACTGCCGGCAAGCAAGGAGGGGTGGAGGTAGACTCATCGCTTGTAACAAATGGAGCACCCAGCTTTCCCATGTTGGCAGCGGGGGCGGCTGTGGGTGGATAAGGACAGGCATCACACGGGAACTCTCAGTGCTTTCCCTTGGAGCTCACTGTGAGCCCAAAAACTGCTCTAAAGAATATTAATTCCTTTTTCCCAGTGCTGGGTACAGATTTTTGTAGCTAAGGAAGTGTTTTGCCACAGGACTGCACATACACAGTTAATTGATTTTTTTTAATCGTGGGAGACCATAGATACTGGGGGGGGGGGGGTTTCAGTAAATAAAAGTGCTTGCTGCCAAGCCTGATGACCTGAGTTCAGCCACAGCCCACATGGTAAAAGGCTGGAATTGACTCCCGTAAGTTGTCCTCTGACCTCCACACATACACCACACCCTGGCATGCTATTCCCTACACAGAAATAAATAAAATTTAAATTTGTTTTTGGGGGTGTTTTCAAGACAGGTTTGTTGGTTTGTTTGTTGTCTGTAGCTCCGGCTGTCCTAGAACTCACTCTGTGTGTGTGTGTGTGTGTGTGTGTGTGTGTGTGTGTGTGTACATGCATGAGTGCACATGTGGAGGCCAGAAAACAATGGGATGGGGGTGGGGTCCACACTTCACCCTGCTCAAGGCAGGCTTGCTTTGTTGTTTGCTGCTGTGTGTAAACCCTGCCAGTCGACCTGGGCTTCCAGGGAGTCCCCTGAACCTACATCCCATCCTGCTTTTGCAGTGCTGGGACTACAGATGTGCACTATGTCTAGCTGACATATCTGGGTGTCTGTACTGGCTGGGTTTGTGCCAACTTGACACATGCTAGAATCGTCAGAGAGGAAGAAGCCTCAGTTGAGGAAATGCCCCCCCCCCCCCGTGAAATCCAGCTATAAGCTATTTTCTCAATTAGTGATTTACGGACAAGGGCCCAGCCCATGGTGAGTGGTACCATCCCTGGCCTGGTGGTCCTGGGTTCTAGAAGAAAACAGGCTGAGCAAGCCAGGGGAAACAAGGCAGTAAGCAGCACCCTTCCAGGGCCTCTGGCTTAGCTCCTACCCTGTTTGAGTTCCTGCTCTGACTTCCTTCAATGATTAACAGTGCTGTGGAAGTAAGTACGTAAGTAAACCAAATAAACCCTTTTCTGCCTAACTTGCTTTTTGGTTGTGGTGTCTCGTCGCAGCAACAGAAACCCTAAGACAGTGTCCAAACTCAGTTTCTCACGGTTGCCCCCGCCCTGCAGCTGCTGGCCATTGCATACTTGCAATGTGGTGTGTGTGGCTAAAGAACTGAATTCGTTGTACTAAATTTAAATTTAAATAAACTAAGTCACACATAGAATTGAACTGAAGAGCAAGAATAAGTTTCGCCAGTGGGAGATGTGGCTTAGTGGCAGAATGCTCATCTAGAATCCTCCAGTGAGGGGCTGGGAATGTAGCACCTGCCAGACAGGGGCTGGCCTGGTCTTCATAGTTGTGGGCCATCCAGAACTACACGGTGAGACTTTGCCTGTTTTTTGTCTGTTTCTGCTCTTTTGTGACAGAGTCTCAAGGTTGAATTTGAACTTCCTTCCTACCACCCACAGGCTGAAATAAGAGCCCTGTACCATCTTGTCCAAACCAGTCTCAGCTAAATGCTGAATTTACTACCAGCTTGTGCTACAAGAGGCTCTGTCTATCACACACACACACACACACACACACACACACACACACACATTTTGTTGGGCAGTAAATGACTGAATGAAGAGTCCAGTCAGTGGTATGGGCTGTGAAGGTCCCTGTCCCTTTCCGGTGACTGCCAGCTGACCCGATGCAGTGCACCTGGAAGGATCACCCTTCCAAAGCTCTGCCCCAACATTTGCCCTTCTGGTGCTAGGACAATGGATGCTGTTCCAGCCTTCCCTCTCCCAGCCTGTCATGTGTTCAAACTCTGCCTCTGTCTCCCCAGAGCTGCCGCAGTTTCTCCGCAGGTGAGATGGCCACCCTTTAAACAGTAGTGTGATCAAGAGCAAGATTCCCTCTGTCTCTATGGGGCTCCATGGAAGAAGACCCGGAACTCCAACCCTCCCACCTGTGTAGGGGCAGGACCTGGGTGGCCTGTGGGAGGAGAGTGGAATTCAAGTCGGCACAGGTGAATATTTGCGTCAGAGCTGCCTCACGGGGGAGCCAGTGACCTGAAAAAGCCAGAGCCAACTCCTAGGGGTGGAGTCTGCAAAGGTGAAACTGCCCTGTTGCAGCGGTAGGAGAGCTCAGAGCAAGCAGAACCTCTCTTCCTCCCTCCCTCCCTTCTGTCCTCCCTTTCTCTGTGTTTCTCTTTGGTTTTTCAAGACTAGGTTTCTCTGTGTAGCCCTGATTGTCCTGGAACTCACTTT